CTGTTCTGAGTTTAAAGTCTTCCATGGGCCTAAGTGCTTTGCTGAATCACAGAGCACAGAGTCGGGCTTGGTATGATGGAGCACTGCAGAGCAGAAAGCAAACATGCACCAAACTCAGAGGAGAAAGAGAGTCAGGGAAGGGTGAATGTTCAAGGGATGGCTGAAGCCTTCAGGTGAGTAAAGTAAGCCAAAGCAATCCTGAAACAACACTCCATGTGCATCTCTGATATGAAAAGTAAGCGTTCTGCCCTCTGCGCTGCTGTCACAGGACAAGGTGACATTCAGTGCAATGGGAAAGCAGCAGTCCAAAATCAGTCAAAGGGAATACGGGTGAAATCCTGGTACAGTGCATGTACAGACACTGCCACCACAATGTGCAGAGGGCTGAGCAGTATCAAAAACAAGGCTGAATCTTTCTGAGGATAGACAGCATCTAAAACAATCCCAAAAGAGTGATCACTCAGTGTCCTGTAGGAACTAGTTCCTACTTGCTTGAAATCAAAATACATCCCACAGGGAAATGCCAATGGAGAGCAGGTAGCCTCATGGCAACCTAAGCTCAGGTGCCTCTCATCAGGCACCGATCCCTTTTGGCACTGCTGTGAGGTTCAGAACACTGAGCCTGGCAGATCTTATGTGTGGATCCATTCTTGTGGCCATTCTTTCAAAACCTGGCCTGTAAAGAATCCTACAGCGTTACGCCCTTTGTAAAAGAAGGAATGCTTTACCAACTTGGATTTGTGGCCTTATTTCACAGCCATGCTGCTCATACAGAGCTCTGCTCTGAGAGACGTCTCTCTTCCATTCAGGAAGGCCAAGTGATGTAAAAATCTGGCAGGTCCCCTTCCCTACAGCCCACATCACAAACCATCACAACAGAAGCAGCAAAAATTACTGCTGCACTTCAGATCAGGCGTCTCAGATGCCAGTGGCCAGGACAGCACAAAGGCTGGAGAAACCTGAACTCTGTGGAATAAATGCCTCTATTTTCTTACTGAAAATACTTGATTGACAGGGTAATTTGCCCGTGAGGCTCCAAATGGGAAACAAGCCTGAAAAACATCAGCATCTGGAGATTTTAGCTGTCTTGGTCTAAGAGACAGTGCAGACAGGAAAACTAAGATGATTTACTTTTTGTGGGGGGAAAAAAAAAAAAAAAGCAGAAGAAAGGACTCTCAGGCAGAAAGTCAGAGGAATCCTTGCATGGTTTGATAGAGAATCATCATCACAATCATTTTCTTTCTCTGTTTATATTACATCCCTTTTCTTTTTTATGTGTTTGATAGCTACAGGAAGACGATTGGAGATATTTTACAGAGCATGCCAGCAAATATTCATCTCACCTTTTAATTACCATACAACATGCTGACTGCTGTTACAGGATGTGGTGAGGGGGAGAGCTTTACAGATAAGATGAGTAATAGAGCACCTCTCCATACCCAAAGCCTTTGGAGCACCGAGCGGAAAATTAAACTCCAAAAACGCTGATATTTCTAACATAAATGCATTACTTTTAACTCTTGAATTATCTCCCATTTCTCAGTATTTTGTTTTCCTTCAGTGGTCTCCCTGGAGACAAATGAGTGCATAGGGATCAGAGTTTTCCCCTTGAAATAGAAGAAACTTCAAGTTTCTGACTCCTGAAGCCTATGGAGAAAAATGCAACGTTTCTGATAGCCTAGAAGCTGAATGAAAGAAGTCTCATTCTCCATTTCCCATTCTGCATGCACTCTGCTTTTCAGGCTCATCTCATTTAAAGATTCATTTTATGACATAAGAATGTCATATAGAATTCATCAGAAATGATCAAAACATAAAGTGAAATAACTGGGGACAGGGAACAGTCTGGGCATTGGACTGCAGGATTTGGATAGCTGTTCCTGGGTTTTGCTGAAAACATTGGCAACTTTCCCTCGCTGAAAGGTCAGTTATCCTCTTCTGGTCTTGGGTTGTTCCTTTAAAATGCATTCCTCCTGCAGAAGGCATTGTCATTGACCAATTAAAATCTTGGACCACTGGTCCAGGCTTACTCTACTTGTGCACTGCAATAACTATGATAATTACTGCTTCAGCTACCCACAAAGAAATGAGTATTTGTCTCTTTGTGAAGGAAAAAAAAATATTTTCCCCAGTGATCAGCAAGGCTCATGGATTTCTAACAACCAAAGGGTTTCCTCTGGTTCAACAGCATGTTGTAAAGTAAAGTTCATAATGTTGGAACTGCAATTGCTGGCTGCTCTCTTCCTAATTTCTTACATAAGTGAAGTGCAGAGACCAATTCCACATTTCACTGTTACCTTCAATAAAAAATTAGCATTTAACTTGTCAGAAGGAGCAATCTCTCATGCCAAGCAATGTCACGATGTTGACCACTTTGCTGCAGTATGCTTCTGTTAGATTTTTCTTCCAGCAGCAGGGCAGCTTCCAGAATAAAAGAGCTGAGACTCAATCCCTTGTAATTATTGACAGACAGTTCTCCAAATGCATGTGCTTAAAAAAAAGGCAGGAACAGAATTAAAACCCGGGGGCAAGTTTAATGGTCTGTCAGCAAAAGCTGATAGTAACCAATGGACACTTGAGAAATCTGCACACTGCCTGTGAAATGAATGGAAATGGCTTTTTAATTATGCATCAGCTGTATAAGTCACTTGCAGCCAAGCCACTTAGAAGCTGTGCTGGAAAGCTCAAAAGAAGAGTTTTCATCTTGCAAGGTCTCAAGCTCAGTGGCAAACAATGTTTCATGGTTGCAGCAGCACTCCTGCCTCAACACTTCAGCAGAGCCTTTTCCAGTGGTGACAGCTGGGGGACTCAGACACCATTACCTCCAATTATATGGGTCTTGGTTCCTTCCCTCACCCTTTGCAGTCCAGTCCTGCTCTGGATGTGAGGAATGGTCTCTCAAGGTGGAGCCCAGCAGCTGAACTAGCGACGCAGCTCATGGCAACACAGTCACTGAAGGGTTTGGGACATTCCCAGCGTGGTCTCCAGCAACAAAAACTCCCCAGACCTCACCTGATGGGGCCTGCAACCTACAGCACCTGAGCTGGCTATTTTAAACACACATCTATCTGCAAGATCCTTTGTCACTGCAATTAGTGACTGGAGAGCATCCTGGGTGGGTTTGATCCCACTCAACTCCAGCTGCCTCGCATGGAGATGTCTCCTCATTTGGGCTTACTGTCATCAACAGAGAGATGTAGGAAATGCCAGAGGGTGATTTGTCATACCTCAGTTATGGGTTGGATGCAGTGACTTGGCTTCTGGAGGCAACTATCTTTCCCTACAGATCATAATCGAAGCCTAGACACCTACCTGCAGCCAGACACCCAGTTCTGAGATAAGTGAGAGGAAACCCCCCACCCTGTATACCTGTCAAAAGTGGCACTGATCTCAGCTAGGGGCCTTTGGTGTTGGAATGCACTTAGTGAGACTCATGAACATTGGCAGGCCCAAAGGTCCATTGGAAATGATTTTTGTCTCTCACTTCCCAGAATTGCACTGTCTTGCATCACTTCCAAAACTACTGACTCCATAGCAGTTAATTTTAATTAATTCAAAGAAAAAGCATTTATATCAATAGACAGGGTGTTGCTAAATGTTGCTGTCATAAGGACACATTCACTAAAACATGGAATTGATACCATACAAGGTGGGTTTTAACGGGTAAAGAGTTTCTCCCTTTATTTTCAACCAGTTCGCTCTGTTCCATCCTTAAAATCAAGCAGCAGTGAAGGTATAATTTCACTTGTCTTCAAGAGAAAGATCAGGAATCTGTGATATGTCAGATCTCAGGAAAAATCCCTGATCTTATTTCCAGTTAAGGTCCTCAAGATATGGGTCCCTGTGAATGAAGTAGAACTGCATCAATTGTGGTAGTGCTAATGAGAAAAAGATCAAACTCCTGGAGGGTTCTCAGTCAAAAATATTCTTGTTGTTTCTGTACAAGTGAGGCTTCTCTATATAAAGCCATAACTTTTTGAGTCTGAAATGGGTTCTTTAGGTTTCTGGAGGATTTCTTCATGTAAATCCACAGATCTGACAGTACTTTTCACCCTAAATGCTCACTAAACCTCTGTTTCAGAGAACAGAACAGTAGTAACAACAACACGTATTTTTTAAAAGAGAAGGAATAAATACTTACACAGAATGAAATAACACCTTGTGTAAACTATTTTCTGAGGTCATTTCTGAGATTGAAAATGCTATAAAGTTATTTGTTATCTGTTGTTATAAAATACTATATATAAAATAACTAAAAGGTTCTGAGAAGTGCTCAGGTTTGGCTGAAGTCCACACCACTGAAGGAAGAGTAAAACTCTGACTTCAAGAGGAACAGAATTTGGCAAAAATGAGTACTTTTGGAAGTCCCACACCATTATTTTTATCAGTAACGTCTGAAGGGAATGTAGCAGATGCTCACAATTCAGATGCAGACCCCAAATTTAACGTAATGAACTTAATTCCAAGAAAACATAATTAGAACATGTTTATAGGCATTAAGCCATATTGATGAAAGAAATATTTTCCAGCCTTATGAAGAACAAGTCTTAACAGACTAGAGCAGGTTTAAAAATCTCGACGTGATTAATGAATTGGATTGTAGCTCTATCCTTAAGCAGAACAGTAATTTAATTCACTGTTGAATGGTAAGAGGACAAAAATTAACCAAACATCCACTGAACTTCAAGTGCAGAAAAACTTAGTAGCCCCAAAGCTACTACTTGAAGTAGATCTCCATTTAAACCAGGTTATATGGAAATGTGTATAACTTGTAATGGAAGACATCCCTTTAAGCTGAATTAATTACTCCAACAGATAAAGCCTTCAAACCAAGGATGAAAATAGTATTTTTATATTAGAGAATCTGGGCTTTCCAGATGTTATTTTGCAAAATTTAGTCTTTCCTTTGACAGTCTTAAGAAACTGACGGCCTGCTGAAGGCACTCCTCCTTTAAATCAGGGACAGCACAGCAGCCCATCCAGCATTACAAGGGAAAAGCTCTGTAAAGTCATTCCTAGGTTTAATACACCGCTTTGCATCTGGTCATTCAAAGGAAGCAATGAGACATAGGGGTTTTAAAGCCATTGACTACAAAAACTGGTGAATGTCGCTTTCTGTGGTCGGCAACGGGGAACAAAAGAACAGCTACACTCCAACTGGCCTCAGGAATTCAGCCCAGACTTTGACAGAATCTCAGAACTTAAAAGGGAGGAATGGGAAGGAGAGCAGTTGGATCCAAGCCATCCAAAGGGCTTTCTGACCCGGAAGGATTTCTTCAAGCTGGAATAACCGTTCTGCGGTAGGTTTTGACAAACACGCTTAAATAAACAAGGTGGCAAAAAAAAAAAAAAAAAAAATTACACTTCACACCATTTTCTGGAAACAAAAGGACAACCCAGTTGGAAGAAAGGCGATCTGTTGGTTTGTCGTGCTCGATTGTCTGCAGCTCACAAAGTCCTCAGTAATTGGGAGGGATTCGCAGCAGTTCCACACATTCCTGATTTCCCTATAACAGCGATCATGATATGCTTGGAAACTCTCACCACTTTGCATGTTCAAAGCGTTGTATAAACATCACTTAATTAATAGCTGCTAAACACTGCTTTATTCAGGTGGTTCAGATATGCCTTTGAAGGGTACATAAGTACTTAGATTGTATGTTGTGAAACAATTTGATGTATTTGTTCATTTTAATTAAGTTCTGCCGTGTCTACATACATGATACAAGGTAACAAAACATGACTGTACAAGTGCTAGGAAGGAGGGAAATCACGGGGGCCCAAGGGGATACAGCAAGCTGTAAGAGGAAAGGCAAATTAGACAGATTATCAGACAGTGTTTCCTACTGACTAAAAACTGCAGGACTGCTCAACCGCACATGCATTAATTATGGTATATATACCATCATACATACCATATGCTATATATATAAGGTATATATATGGGCCAGAAGGACGCATGAGAAAGTTCAAGGGAAGCAAGTGAATTTCAGACTCTAGTCCCAGAAATGCCATGGAAATTTAGGAAGTTCAGTCCATAGGCCAAAGTCAGTGGAAAGATTCCTACTGACTGCAGAGAGTTCTGGATCCCCCATTTCCCAGGGGAACACGTGAGGGTGTCATTTCTGGCTCAGCTTAAAGCAATAAAAACCTGTAGGAGAGAAATGTACACTGAGAAAGTCTCACAACCAATCACTGAATTCCACTCTTTCTTAGACCAGCAATAAGAAGCTGGCCTATCTCAGTCTCATTCTCCCTTCATTATTTATATTTTCATCTGAACTGGGTTAGTCACACTGAAGTCAAAGCAACTGTAATAACTACTAATAAAACCAGTTATTTCCAAAAATTAGTCACAAAAGATTATTACAGCAGAGAATGCAAATGGCACACAAACGTGAATGTTGCCCTGAGGAGTAGCCCTGAAATAATGACACCAAGGTCACATTTGTCACAAAAAGAACAGTTTAACTGCTGTCTTTTGTTTACCACAGTCTTCCACGTTTGGTTCATCAAACAACAGAATCTTACACAGTTATTAGAAGTGACTGGAAACGTCCAGGGACTGTGATCTTCACTCTATTTTCTGACTCTTCCCATGACGTATTTTTCAGAGCTGATCTTACTCAGGGACAAGACACAGTTCTCCTCCAGGAGACTTTGACCTGGATTCCCACATGACCACCTCTAAATAGGAAGATATATCTTCCAAATACAATCTTATTTAACCACACTCACTTCCAAAGCTTTCTTCCACCTTCCCTCTCAGTATTCTCTCTGATATTCCTACACCAAAATATCTTCCCAAAGTCTTTTTATTTTTTTTTTTTTTTTTTTATATTTAAACTTCTGTCTCTTCAGCAAACACCTCAGGTCTGCCTTCATGCACTTACCATGAGAGTTTCTGTAGGACATTCAACTTACTAAAATGCGTGGAATTTCTTGGTCCTACTAGTTAGGACATGATTTGGTCTTCATTCAAAGTAAAAGGCAAATATTTGTCTGGCAAGGTGACTCTGAGCATTTACTACGTGTTACTTATCCAGCTGAGTCTTGGCAGCTCTCCCTCCCCTCACACAGACTGACTCCCCTTTAATTTTTTATGTTCAGATACGCTGGTTCAAGTAAAACTTCTTGCTTACTCTACTGCTGAGACTAGCAATACTAATATCTGTTCTGTCAGCATGCAGCATAATTCCCATTCATGTCTTCACCGTCTGAAGAAGACCTTTCTACCCACAAAAATAAATGCATTAAGGATTACAGCACACTCAGGCAGAGCAGTAATGGAGCCCATAAAAGTGCTTTGCTGGATAAGCAAGAGAGCGTGTCCTAAAATGGGATAATCTTTCATCTCACTCTCCACGAGGAGAAAACAACCATGTCTCTCTGCCGGATCTTACATGGCAAAACCAGCTCTTGTGAACGTTTCATACCATCCACCCTTAAGAAGGACACTGCTTGGCCCTTTTCCAGCCATGCTGGATCTCTGAAGGGTCCTGGCAGTGATCCAGGCTGGGTCACATCCAAGGGGCCCACGCCGTGCTTTTGGCTCGAACAAGATTTTGTTTGCAGCTACGGAGGATGAAGTTTTCAAGCGTATGATTCATTGGTGCTCTGCGTCAAGCCTACAAGCCTCCGCTCCTGAAAGCCTTCTCTTACTCCTAAATTATGTGCCAGCCAAGGCCAGAAGAGCACAATTGTCATTCAGAGGCTTACATTCAGCCTGGTGAATGTTACTTAGTAGGGGGTGACGTGACTCCATGATACCTATGCTGTCAGCTGAGGAGGGTTTTTTTTTTTAGTTAAATGTGATGACAACTGCACCCTATTTATACCAATGAACTTAGGCATATCAAAATAGTAACATCAAGAGGAATACCCTGAGCAAAAATTTCACGCTGCTCGATTTACACTTTAAAGTAAATGTTTCTTTAGCTTACAATTGATCACTGGCTACAAGCATTGGAGACTTGTTTCGTGGCTTTGACTCCACCCTGGAAATGGGAGAACCCAGGGGCTCTGCTCATCCAGGCCTGTGGGACTGAGCAACAGCCTCACATGGATGAAAGGCTGCCGTCCCCTCAACTAGCATCCACAGTACCAGTGGGCATCTCATTCTGTCTCGAGGGCAATTTGAACAGAAAAAGCCAACAAGAGAAGGACACTAGTGAGTTTGTGTTTTGCACCGTTCCTACAGCAATAAGTATAATTATTAATCATGGGCTGCAGTGCCCTTGTCCCCAAAAATGTGAATGCTTTTCAAAACCAGAATCAGCATAGCTTCACCTGCTGAGAACAGGACAGCAGGGGCAGATTTGGATGCCGGGCATCCTTTTGTGCAGTGGAATTTTAGGAGTGTACTTAGGCTATGCTGAAACAAGCAGCAGCATTCCCCATCTCTCAGCTGTCACCCTCCATCCCTACAGGCTGCACAAGCAACCGAGTGCAGCCAAGTGGTGCAGCTTCCAAATGCATTTCACATAATGGAGCAGGCAGAGGCTGCAGCCTGGTAGGATGAGAACACTGCTGCTGGTCACAGAATCACAGAATCACCCGGGTTGGAAGGGACCTCAAGGATCATGTAGTTCCAACCCCCCTGCCTAGCAGGGCCACCAAACATCCACATTCAGATCAGGTTGCCCAGGACCCCGTCCAACCTGGCCTTGAACACGTCCAAGGACGGGGCATCCACAACCTCCCTGGGCAGCCCGTTCCAGGGCCTAACCACTCTCCTTGTGAAGAACTTCCCCTAACATCCAACCTAAATCTTCCCTCCCTCAACTTGGATCCATTTCCCCTAGTCCTGCTGTTGTCAGCCCTGGTGGTCCCCAAAGGGCTGCCGCTGCTCAGCCCTTAGCTTTAATCTGCAGGGACAAACCAGAGGATAGGTAAGGCTTGCCTGCAATTCTGAATCAGAATTCATATTTTAATAGTCACACTTTCTCTTCCCAACCCAGTGGTATTATTACCAGAACTCAGCCTGCTCCCAAATCCCCCTTCCCACCAACTCCCACAACTTTGGAACAGTTTAGCAGCCATTCTGCGTTTTGCTGCATAGCCCTAATTACTACTCAGTACTATAATTGATACGTTAAAGTCTATTAAAGCATGGAGCCGAGCCACTGCGTTACAGACACTGCATTTCTAATGCCAAAAATCATTTACAGTTTGTTTCTGTGCTTTATTTCAGCTACTTTTAAATCAACGTCTCTCCCCAGGACCCAGACGATGCTGATGGGATTTAGTCTCAGAGTGTGAAACTCACAGCCTGCAGCACCAGAAAAATAAAGTCTTACAAAGCCATTCAAATGGATCTCCCTCACCAATTACTTCAGCCAAAAGTAAATTATAAGCTGGACATTATCAAAGAAAAATCTCTGTAGCACATTCCAGTTCATTTCATTGTACAGAGGGGTTTGGGTGCAGTGGTGCAGGCCTGCAGTCACATTTTCATATTTGCAAGACAGACTCGCGCACTAGAGCAACCACTATTTATGTGTGTATACTTTAGCTATCACTTCTGCTATTGACTGTCAGAAGATGCCTTCAGGACATTCTTAAGGGGATGAGCTCTCTGGCATGCCTACAAAAATGAAGCAGTGAAATCAAGTAAAATTGAAGTCAGCAGAAACTACTGCAGGACATAAACAGCCAGCAGACAGGTAACCCTACTGCAGGAGTTCTCCAAAGGCTCATGAGAAGGTAAGAGGGGAAAGGGCCTCTAGACACTGAGGTGAAATGAATGTTCGTGTGTATCATTTTGCAGAAACACCAGGTAACATACGGAAGGCAGAAGAAACTTGCATAAGGGCAAAGCGTAACAAAGAAAATCCACATGAGATTAATATATCAGAAATTTTAGTGAACAGCACTCTCAAGACCTAGGAAATAAAGGGTTTCTCCAGGACATGTGAAATTCCACAAATACAGAAGAACTAAACAAACTTTACCTATTTCAAGAGAATCAAGTACTCTGCAGTTAAGACCATGCTGGGAAAACTCCAAATCAAACTGGGATCCTTATACACTCTTTTCAGAAACAGTTTGGCCAGAGTTTGCAAAGTCATCTCAGAAGTCACTGAGAGTTTCCATTCAACCCTATAAAGGGGCACACATTGGCTAAAGGGCATTTTTGTCATCATGCTCATTTCTTCCCTCTGAGTCCTTTAAGGAGACATCACACACACAGAAATAAATCTTCATTCACACGATATTCATCCCAACAGCACGGGAACCTCCACTGAAGACTGCTACGTGCACCAGATAACACTTGGAGACTGACGAAATCAGGGTTGACACCCATGATAGATACAGTTTCAGTGGAGCTCAGCCTTACCAGACTGCCTCATTCAAGACAGTGACGCCACACAAGAAAGGACAAAAAGAAACTCATTGCTAAAATCCCTGGGGGACTATTGCATATGGTACCTGAGATAGCACCAACAATCCTGTTGTAGCACAAGGGAAAATGCAGCAATGACAGCGCAACAGCAAGATCCCAAGCTGCAGCAAGCAAGCAAGGATTCACTCAAGCACAACAGAAGCATGCGCAGGAAAAAAACAAACAAACAAACCAAAACCACAACAACAAATAAAAAACCCACTGCTTACCTTCAGAAGAGCCCCAAATGTACAGAGATGTCCAGAAAGAAGCTCTTATCTCCACTGCCAGTTCTTAAATGAGATCTGGGAAGGGATGATCCTGGCCCCAAACCTTCTGGTGACTCAGGCTCATTACTTACAGCTGAGCTTTCCTGGGTTGGCCCTGCCCTTCCACCAGGTGCTCAATCACTGCTTCAGGCTGTGACCCAGCATTTCCACTGCACCTATGTTCTTCATTTTCTGTGGCCTGGTAGTTCTCATATGTGTATCCTTATTTCAACCATGACAATGCTTTGACAAAGGACATCTCTGGATGTGTGGTGAGATCAGCTGTGTTTCAAGCTACTGGGAAAGCCCTACATCAGCCATGTCATCAAAGGCAAGGGGAAATCTCACCCTCAGCCATGCAGTGAGAACAAAGCAATAGCCACCAGGGAAAGCCCACTTTTAACAAAGGGAAAGCCCCACGCTGGAGGCCACATGAGGGATGCATGGAGTCCACAAGCCCACATCCCAGCCAGGAGGCCACCTGAGTCAGTACACAGTGCTATGCTTTGACACTGCACTCCTTGCCCACCTCTCAGCAGCCTTCCCCCACTTTTCCATGTTGCTCCCTGATGCTTGCAGATGCAGCATCACCTGTAAGTCTGGGCTTCACCCCGCAGAGTGTTCTAAGTGACACAACGATGCCCAAATAAGCTCAGCCTCTTCTGATCCCATTATGTTTCAGATGTGATCCTCTACAGCTGCAGTACGTTTCCAAACTCTGCAAATCACACTCAAGTCTCTGATAAGGAAACGGCTGCTTGTGCAACTCTCCCATTTGCTGTAACCAGTGCATTATGACAGTTTGGCTTCCTCTAATTTCTCCTTTCCCTTGGCACAGTTGGGACTGTATCCAACTCCTATCCCACCTCCTAAAAGGAGGAGGATTTTAATCCAGATCCATGAGAAGGAGGAATAAGTCTCTTCTGGTCTTTGTGGGATACAGCCCTGAACATTGCCACTGATAGCATTTGAACACCCAGCACTCAGTGAGCTCCCTGAGGAGATGCCAGCATCACCACCGCCACACAGCAGCACTGCTCCAGCCTCAGACAAAGCCAATCTCATGCACAGAAGGCTCCGGATAAATTCCAATCAGAACAGCAGGCATTGTGTCTGCTGCCCATAGGAGACGCAGAGAAAGCAAAAGTCCCTGATGTAGTTTAAGGACCTTTAAGCTGCTGGGCAGAGTGGCCCTGGAAAATCCTCCTATGGAGCAAGTTTCTCCCCAGGAGCTGCTGGATTGGCAGTGGAGCAGCTGAGCACTGCAGTGCAGCAATTTGTTCCAGTTCTGAATATGCAGAAAGACTTTTCCATGATTATTTCCAAACCAGACTAGAACAAGTCTTTTCCTGCCATCGGAAATACGTTCTGCTAATGTAATACTGGTTTGGGGGCGAAAAAAAAACCCCGAAATAAATAAATAAATAAACCTCCTGTTAAGTCATGCACAGAAAACATTGTGGAAACAATTTCTGTCGTATGAGTACTGGAGGATAGATGGGTGTTTTTAAGCAACAAGACCATCGTTGTGCTTAGCTCACTCTCTTTGTGCCCCAGCAACTGGATTGCGTCTTTCAGAATTAGTATTAATAATAAAATGTCAAAGGGTGAAGGAAGTGCAGGTTCCTCTACATAGCAAGGTCCCTGTTTGGGAGCTTCTGAGCAGAGGGACACCAGTTTCCACATCTATTTGCTATTCAGCCATGCTGCCAAGACAGCCAATATAAAGAAGCAGACATAGTAGTGCTTTTTGTGCTGTTCATCTCCGGTCACTCCACATCGCACAGACACAGCTCATTCAGTTCATCAGGCCACCAAACAGAAGCTGGGTGCTGAAGGCATCCGGTCCCTGCTGCATTGGCTCAGGTTCTGCTCATGATGAGAGTCTCCACAAACCAGTATTGGCCCTAGGAACTGCTCCACTTCAGAAATGTACGTTCTTCTCTTCCAATTAGTGAAACAGAACCACATTGTCAAGGAAATGCTCGCAGTGATCTAATAGGTCAGTCCTATCTTTAACTCCTATCATTCAAAATAGAAGGAAATTATTTTCCAGTCATTTGGAAGTTCACACTGTGATTAAAATAAAGCAAAGTTCACTAACCTTTCCTTTGCTTTGTGAGTTTTTCCTCTTATGAGTATTTGAAGAAATCAGATGTGACAATCCTGGACAATTAAAGTCCTTAATAAAGGTCAGAATTCTCCCCCAAAATAGGGAAAATGTGATGTTTCCAAAGGACTGCTAAATCTCTTCCAGTAGATTTTGAAATAATAATTAAAAAAAAAAAAAAAAAAGCCCTGTGTTTCTCTGCCAAGTGCCACCAAACAAGTCAGCAATACAGCCAGAAAGCTCTTTTACAGGCTGGGGCCATGCATCAGAAAGATAAGTTTCCCGATCTGAAAACGCATCTGAGTCATGTCTGCATTTTAGCATTTGTGAGGAGCACTTTTGTAATGCTGCTAATTCCCTGATTAGTCTGACAGGACCGGTTGTTGTGTTATTATTATTATATTTTTTGTTTAGATAAAGAGATTCTGTAACACAGCAGACATTACCACACTGTCTTTGTGCTGTTGTAACTGCAGCAGGGAAGAAACGCGGGTTGGGACTTCGAAGAGCACATCAGCCATTCAGTTCCAGCTGAAACTGAGCAGTTGGGCACCTACCCCGTCCTGTGACCGCCGTCCTCCAGCTCTGCAGAACACACAGCAGTGATTTCAGCCTTTTCTGGCACAGATTCCTGAGCTAACCTCACCTCTTACGTTAATAATATCAAGTTTTTCCTTCTCCAGCAGAGAGTGGGATTGGGATGAAGTTCAGCTCTGGCTTGTATGCCACTGCAGTCCTATTTTGAGAGCTCACATGAGACTTTTCTCTTAGAAGAACCAAGAAAGTACTTTCAGCCTCCTGCTATTGCGCACCTCACAGCAGGTTGAGGCTGTCCCTGCAGCTTTGTGCTTGTTTTCCATGCAACCTTTCCCAGTGCTGTTTCTATGCAGGTTTAAAGGATGGCAAGAGGGGGAGAGGGGAGAAGATCAAAAGGACAGCATGGTGCTTCCAAAGCCGGTGCTTTGGAAGGGTCATTTAGATGTTGGCTTCTTGAAATGTAACAGTCTAGTGCATCACAGCACTTCCCTGAAGAATAAGCTGAGGGACATACTGGAACAAGCTGAAGGAGTCGGGGAACCAGTGACACACCTTCATTTTAATACTAACTTTCTGTGGGTTTGTTCCTGGATAAAATGACATGATTTTAGCAGTAATGCTCTAATCTGAGTCAGAAGCAGCTCTCTCCTCAGGGCCATGCCATCATGCCATGTCATGATAGGGGAGGTGAGACTGACATGGCAGGACAAGGGGAAATGGTTTTAAGTTGAGGGAGGGGAGATTTAGGTTGGATGTCAGGGGGAAATTCTTGACAGAGAGAGTGGTGAGGTACTGGAACTGCTGCCCAGGGAGGCTGTCATGCCCCGTCCATCCCTGAAGGTGTTCAAGGCCAGGTTGGATGGGGCCCTGCACAGCCTGGGCTGCTATTAAATGTGGAGGTTGGTGGCCCTGCCTGTGGCAGGGGGTTGGAGATTCATGATCCTTGAGGTCCCTTCCAACCCAGGCCATTCTGTGATTCTATGACATGATTGGGGAGAAATGGAAATTTAGAAGAAAAGATCCAGGAAGACCTATTCCAACACATGGAACATAAATCAACGTTTGTCCCAGCTGCCAGCTCTGGCCTCCAAACATTAGTTACTGCTACAGCTTTCTAAATGTCCATGGCCACTAAGGACATTAAGCAACAGGGTATCCCCATTGCAACACAGGCACTCTGATGCAAGGGCTGCAACCATTTTCAGTCTGTTTGTTGCTGCCATCATTAATCACTTTCATTAGGGCAGCAGGAGGAGACCAGGGCCCCACCGTGCTGCTGGAATGCTTTGGAAGAGATGGCTGCTCTGCCAAAGCACAAGCCCAAATGACAAGTGGGCAAAAGAAGGAGTTTATGAAGTTCTCCTAAATAATCATTCCTGCAATGTAAAATCCATCAAATTACAGCTACTCCTGCTATGGTTATTGGGTAACCAACCAGCTGACTGCACCTACAGCCACACACTTCAAGTTGAACAGAGCCACTGAAGCCAAAATGTGTCTGAGTGTTCTTCTGTGTCTAATTCATTTATGGCAACTTGCTTGATGGCAAACTGATTTAGAGCAAAAACTGCAAAGCAGCGGTGAGCTTCTGTTTGCTGATTGCAAACAGAATGTATTTAAGGTAATGACTCAGCAATGATTTCCTTGTCAATATTAAATGCAATTTTGGAGTAGTTATTGTCATTGTCAACAGCTCCTTTGGGCACAACACAACATTACTGCTGTTTTGTTTCCTGCTGCTTTACCTGACTCTCTCAGGAGAATTCTTCATTATGTGATTTGCACTCTGTGGCCTAG